ATAAAACACCCAGCCGCTGAGGCTCATGGGTATTGTTGTGATTGGAGACAGAGCATACACCTGTTTGGCAGTGACATCAGCCAGGTGAGTCTCTTATTGTGAAATCTTCTTCCTGTCTCGGTTTAATCTCCTGCCGTTGCCATGACAACAGCCCGTCATGGAGGATCGATGAGGGGGATCAGTAATAATCATCGTTGTGTCTTATTAGAACATATCAGAGCACGTATTGATCAGCGTTTAACCTTTAAAGGGAGCTGTGTGATGTCACTTCCTGTTACACTGCGTTGAGTTGTGGTTGTTTTTTATGAGACGAGCAGAAACATTATTTATTTATTTATTAGTTTTCTTTAACAGCTGAGCGGTCTCCTTCAGTCTTTGTTTTCTCGGGCGCTGTCAGCACGCCGCCGCCTGACCTGCGTCTCACTGTTAATATGTGAATTCTTGTATAAACCAGGAAATGTACAATATTGTATAAGAATAACCAATAAAAACTCTAAAAGCAGCTGTCTCAGATCTCGTCTCTGCAGGCCGTCCTGACGCAGGCCCGTCCTCGGAGGACTCGTGATGATGACGGTGAAGTCGCCGGGCGCAGAGGTCCAGCTCCAGGAAGCCTCCTGGTCTCAGCTGTGCTTCTACAAACACTTTATTACATGCAGCTGCTTCTTAGTTTGAGGTTCACTTTGACGATGGGTTCACAGTTGGTGGCCTACGGTGTGTCGGCCCCTGGGCCCCTGCTCGTCAGTGTGATGTGCAGCAGTTGAGTGATGACAGAATAGCAGGCGGTGGACAGAGACGGACCGGTTATCATCCCCCAAACACACAAACAGTAACAACATGAGCAAATACCTCAAGTTCACAACATAAAAGGCAGGAAGCCACACCCACTCAGACGGGCGAGGCTCCAGAGACCTGTGGTAGGGCCCCTAAACCTCGAGAGACTGATCCGGCCTGGAGTGGAGGACCCAAGGGAGATGCTCCAACGGACTCTGTTGAAATATAAGTGGATGCCGGCCCTGAACTGATCCACTGCTGTAATGTGTTTTATGCCAGCGAACATGTCACACAGCCCTCTTGTTAGTTGCCGTAGTTACATGCCTATTTGGAAGACCCAGTACCAGGAACACTGGGTCCACTTCCAAATGGGTACCCAGAGTCCTCCCAGTTTCCCTCCGTCCATAAGAGACCATAAGCCACAAGTCACGTCTCCACCTCCACTGTCCATGTGAGTCCATCAGTGACAGCGAAGGGTTAAAGGAGATCAATTTAAACTGTGTTCCTTAATTCGGGTTCAAATCATGTCTTTAGCGTGATTCCAGATGTTTCCCGTCATCAGCCGCCATCATTCCCCTTTAGAGAACACACCAAAAATTCACGTGTGCATACAAATATTTACCAGCTTACACACCCGCGTAGGAGCCATTATACATTTCAAAGTGGTTTCAGGGGATTTCGGAGTTGGCTCATTGGCTCATTGGCTCAGAGCCTGTGCGGTTCAGTATGAGTGACTTGTCAGTCACGCACTCCATATCAGAGATAAACGGTTGAAAGGTGACAAAAATCATGTAGCCGATGTGACAGAAGGCAGGTGCAGCAAACAGCTTCAGTTACAGACCTTTCTTTTGTGCTGCTGTGACCTACAGACAGCAGTGAGGACCTGCAGCAGGGTGGGAGTAACGCAAAATAAATAAATAAGGGCTACGAGGGGACTCTCTGGGTCGCTACACTTACAGCTCAGGTCTTGGCAGTAGTACGGTAGATAATTTCATTACAGATCTAGATCCAATGAGAGCTTTCACAGTCAGCCCCCTCACACCCCTCCCACAGCAAAACCACTACCTGAGGTGATGGCGCAATGGACAAGACCACGCCTTTTGGTGTGAGAGACCCGGGTTCAATCCCCCACTGTGACTCCTCCACCATTGTGTCCCTGAGCAAGACACTTAACCCCTCGTTGCTCCTGAGGCGTGTGACCTCTGACATACAGTGGGTACGGAAAGTATTCAGACCCCTTTAAATTTTTCACTCTGACCTCATGATTCTCATTTGCTCTGACATGCACTGTGAGCTGTAAGGTCTTATATAGACAGGTGTGTGGCTTTCCTAATCAAGTCCAATCAGTATAACCAAACACAGCTGGACTCAAATGAAGGTGTAGAACCATCTCAAGGATGATCAGAAGAAATAGACAGCACCTGAGTTAAATATGAGTGTCACGGCAAAGAGTCTGAATACTTATGACCATGTGATATTTCAGTTTTTCTTTTTTAATAAATTTGCAAAAATTTCTACATTTCTGTTTTTTTCTGTCAAGATGGGGTGCTGAGTGTACATTACTGAGAAATAAAATGAACTTTTTTGCTGCAATGAAACAAAGAGTGAAAAATTTAAAGGGGTCTGAATACTTTCCGTACCCACTGTAAATAGCAATTGTAAGTTGCTTTGGATAGAAGCGTCAGCTAAATGAATAAATTTAATGTAAGTCTGGGGCCCCTAGTGCCTGTGAACTGTTTAACAGCACATACCCATACAGATGGAGCCCAGACAGCATGGGGGCGTACCAGAAGGCACTGGAAAATCAAAACATACATGATTTAACTCATTTGTTTCTGTGTAAATTCTGCTGTGGACAAAATCAATTCAATATTTCATCATTTGGCTTCATTGTCTAATTTGAAAGCCTCCAAACCAAAACCTCAACAAATGAACAATAACAAATGGTTTGACACTGAATGCAAAACAGCCAGTTCTGGGAGAAATGGAACAACCTAAACAAAACCCAGCAGGATGAACTGGCAATCCAAGATGGAAATACTTTGATTAATCACTTTAGTGAATTATACAGTAATATTACAAAAAATTATGATCAGTACAAGATATTCACGAAATGGAAAACTCTGGAGGCGGTGATAAAAAACAACCAAAACCCTCTAGATTATAGAAGTCATCCAGTCCCTGAAAGGAAAAAAGGCTTGTGGTACTGATGGAATCCTCAACGAAATGATCAAATACTCAGACCATAAAATCAAATATACTAAAACTATTCAATACTATTCTAGCAACTGGAACTTTTCCAGACATCTGGAACAAAGGTTTAATAACCCCAATTCATAAATCCGGAGATAAATATGACCCAAATAACTACAGAGGAATATGTGTATCCAGTAACCTGGGAAAATATTCTGCAACATCATTAATAAACGACTTGTCAACTTTGTTGATAACCACAATATTCTGCATAAATGCCAAATTGCCGCACCACAGACCATATATTTACCCTCCAGACTCTAATTGATCAAGAATTAAACATTAAGAAAAGAAAGGTATATGCCTGTTTTGTTGATTCCATCTGGCACCTTTTCTATAGGCTACTTGAAAGTGGCATTGGATGAAAAACATATGAATGTGCCATAAAGATTGGATACAAACAAACAAAGTGTTCTTCTCTCCTTCAATCTATAATCAATGAATTAGCAAACCAATTAGAGAGTTCCACGGCACCTGGCCTCCTCCTGAACGACACAGAGATCAGAGGTCTGCTGTATGCAGATGACTTAGTGTTGCTCTCACCTACTAAAGAAGGTTTTCAGCAGCACCTTAACCTCCTTCAGAGATTCTGTCAGACCTGGGCCCTGACAGTAAACACAGCAAAGACTAAGATAATGATCTTTCAGAAACAATGCAGAAATCAGGTCACACAAAATTTCTATTTAGACACCACTAAATTACAACACACAAAAAAACTACACTTACCTTGGCCTCAACATTACATACACAGGGAACTTCAACATGGCTGTTAAAGATCTGAGGGACAAAGCAAGGAGAGCTTTCTATGCAATAAAAAGAAACATTAAAATATATATTCCAATTACCAAACACAAAGTAAATTCCAATGTTATCTGACCCTAAAAAGAGAATTCACACTGGCAAATGACCTGAGTACAATAAAATGTCCTAAACTAAGCAAAATGTTGACAACATACAGACTGAGTGAACACAGCCTGGCCATAGAAAAAGGTCACCATAGACAGAGCTGGCTACCACAAGAGTGTGACAGGGGACAGGTAGAGACTCAGAAGACAGGTAGAGACAGGGGACAGGTAGAGACTCAGAGGACAGGTAGAGACAGGGGACAGGTAGAGACTCAGAAGACAGGTAGAGACAGGGGACAGGTAGAGACTCAGAGGACAGGTAGAGACAGGGGACAGGTAGAGACTCAGAAGACAGGTAGAGACAGGGGACAGTTAGAGACAGAGGACAGGTAGAGACTCAGAGAACAGGTAGAGACAGGGGACAGTTAGAGACAGGGGACAGTTAGAGACAGAGGACAGGTAGAGACTCAGAGGACAGGTAGAGACAGAGCTGCACTTTCTAACCTCATGCCCTAAATATAAAACACAAGACAAAAACACTTTGCAAACATTTCCCAAGACACACTATTTACTGGGAGAAATGCCAGAATGTCAAATAATTATTTTTATATTTGTTTGATATTTTAGTAATTGTTTTGTTTTTACATTTGATACTGATATCTTTATTTATTTATTTATTTATTATTATTATTAAATTTTTTGTCTAATAACATACACACATACGTTACTGTTCATTCATTTAAAATTAATTTTATTTAAATTTTTAATATATAATTTTTTTACACTTTAATTACTTTACGCTTTAATTCCTTGTTTAAGGAAATGTATGCGGTTGATTGTTTTTATGTAGTTTGTATGATGCTTTGGCAATATTGTTGTTACACATTCATGCCAGTAAAAAGCTAATTTGAATTGAATTGTGATAGAGAGATCTCTCGTCTCATGGAAACAAGATTCTGCCACTATATTTCAAAGTTTCCTCACCAGAGGAAGAGCTGTCCAGGCTGGACCCTTATCCTTCTCACAAGAGCTGTTACAGTAACACAGTAGAAAGTAAACTCAGTCGTGCGTGTCTTTGTTCCCCTGCAGTAAAGACACAGACATCAGCCCAAGGATCGGTATGTGATGTCACCGTCACAGGAAGCGCTTCTGTACATCCAGGTCCGTGTGTGGCGGTGGCATCACCTACTGATCCTTCAGAAATGCTTGAAAACATGTAGGGTGCGTGGACGCTACCGCGCTACTCGGCCAATAAAAGAGCTTTGTTATTGGAAAGCTATTTGATCCAGAAAATAGCGATGCTACTGCCCAACACTGCTTATACATGGGTAGGTTTGTCATTTTTTTCTTTTACTTGAGTAATTGTACTTTTTTCTGAGTAAAGATTTTGAGTACTCAACCCGCCACTGGCCAGCGGCAGCAGTACTAACGCTGACATGGTGAACATGAGACAGACAGCAGAGATGAGGGCGACAGCAGAACAGAGTCAGAGCAGCAGTTTATGGTGAGCATGATGATGATGATATGGCTTATTTATTTATCTACTCAGGGGCTCAGCTCAGTTGATTTCTGGACTTTAGGAGTGCTACTGAGGAGTTTCTAGTTTTGAAAATGTATTTTAAAGCTTCATTTAGTTATTTTCTCTACTTGCATAAAATTCTCAAGAATGCAGGAATAAATGTCTCTAAAGACCCAGAGGGCCCGACAGATGCTTTGTCTGGAGAGCAGGCTGACCAGGGACAAACTCCTGGGCCACTTCTTTGCCTCCGTCATTGACCATCCTTGACCTTAAAAACCTGTGCCTGGAGATGTGCATGTGTCTCTTCTACGTGTCCATAAACAAATGAAAAGAGGTCAAAATGTTCACACAGAGACGAGCATCCTGCAGTATTTAAGAGGACAGAGGAGTAGAAAACACTGAGGAGGGTGAGCTTGTAAGTTGTATGGATAGCTAGTAGACATAGTAAATTCTAAAACTCACGTAGTAAAAGACTTTGTTAGGCCAACAGCATGTCATCAGAGTTGCATTGAAGACAGTTCTGTGTTCACAAACGTTTGTTGCAGGGAGAGTCAGGGCCAGGTGAGACACAGGAAACATCACAGCTCACAGGTGTAACGTCAGGATAACTAAATACATTTGTACTGTGGCTACATTACCTATTGGTAATTATTGGTTTTGTTCTAGTTATATTATACTCTATCTCTCTGACCCATTTCGAGTTCTCATGATCTCCCCTCTCCAGTCCATTCTCCATCTTCTGTCACTACAAAGACCCTCTTTCAGCCACACTAATAAGCACATTCTGTTTTCAAAAGTCATTAGAAATGAGAATTTAAGGGATTTATTTAAAAATAAATCGGGGGTTTATGCCCCCGAACCTCCCTAGCATTTCAGGGTCCCCCCCAGGTTCAAAGTCGCTCCTACACCCCTGTGCTTACAGATCAGAAGGTGCAATGGAAAATTATATTTTAGGTATTGCACATCAGTAGCCACAGGCGAGGTTGCACAGATTTATGGGTGTGGAAACACTAAGGGCGTCTCCCAGAACCTCTAAAGAACTGAACTGTTCTCTCGTTATGATGAGCGGCACTGTGGGGCAACGGTTAGCACTGCTCCACTGTGTAATAACCAGAGTTCATCATTCAAATGCTGTTTTTTCAGGGAGGATGTTCAAATTAAGTATTAAAGTATTAGTAAAAGTATAAGTAAAGTATTTTAGGTGAACTGTAAAGTAGGAGGAGTCAGTTTGGTTCCTGTTCTTATCCTGTAAGTATCCTGACCAGCTGCACTGCAAAACAACAGAACACCCTGCAGCGCATGGTGAACGCAGCAGGAAGGATCATCGGTGCCTCCCTCCCGTCCGTCCAGGACACCTACAGCAGCCCCAGCCCTCACTCAGCCTCTTCACTCTCCTGCCATCTGGGAGAAGGTACCGGAGCCTCCGGGCCCTCCACCAGACTGAGGAACGGTACCATCCATCAGGCTGGAAGGACCCAAACGTCTTCAAACGATTTTTTCAAATAAAAAAGTTTCTTTGATTTAAAAAAAAAAGAACACAAGTCAACCACGACTCCCAGAGTGCATTTCATTAAGAGCCACCCAATCGCAGAGCTCTGCAAACGGCAGGTGGAAGCTAAAGGTGACGCTGTTGAGAAAACGTTTATGATCTGCAGCTTAAATCAGTTCACTTTTATTTTGGAGTTAACTTTGGTTGAATTCAGTAACGTCAAAGTGTTCTCACGTCTCAACGCTCTGATTCACACCACAGACTGGTTGCATGGCAACAGCAGCTGAGGCTCATGGGTTTTTTGGAGAAAAGCTTGAATTCTGAAAAACTTTCGTTTTTCTGTTTGGAACTTGTGGGAGGCTGCAAGTTTTCCAAATAAAAGCGTTTTGCTTATTTAAATCATTCTTAATTTTATTGTTGCCGTATCGTGATACCGTTACAGTGATCGGTTTTATCGACCATGCCTATAAGACGCCATCATTGATGGGTCACATGCGGGTTTTTGCTGCTGTCAGACGGTCTGGAGGATTTTCGCTCTGCTGAATCACTTGTGACAGAAGAAGAAATCTGCAGAGTGGTTCTAACAGTCGGCCCTCTGGATCTCTGCAGACGGGTTGTAATGTTACTCTGACGCCATGTGATTGTTCCCACTTCCGTCAGCGTCCTTACAGGAAGTTTCTAGTTTCTTCTTTGCTGAGTGGACGGTCATCAGTCCTGCTGCACACCTGCAGAGAGGCGACACAGGTCTGTCAGCAGAACTGAACTCTGAGCTGTGGCAGGCCGAGAGGAGGAAGCTGCCGCTTAACATCAAACCAATTAGCAGTAAATCGGGGGATTAGAGGCAGCAGCTGATCTGCCGTTAATGGGATCAAAGCCGGTCGGAGGTTTAGGATGACGAGTCGCAGCTCGCTCACATTCACACCTCAACGCTTTCTTCTGCAGGAAAATCTCAGTGGTGAGGAGCCACAAGCCGATCTGACGGGTTTTATGTGAATATTCGATTGTGGTTTGATGGCAGACCCCTCTGCCCCCCCAGCATTATGGACTGTCCTGACCTGCAGCTCGGCATTATGGGTTTGAAACCTCTGGAGTTCTGGCCAAGTCGCGTTCAGTTGCTTCTTTCTGGAACGGAATAAACCTGTCAAACTGTGACGGAACTGTTTTCTTCTTGATACCTGACCTTTAGTGATCGTTGATTCCTGTTAGTGTTTGATCGTACCAAGAGCTTAACATGCCGTTCATGCCGGTGAAGTTCAACCTGCAGAAGCGGGTGAAGCTGGCTCAGGGTCTGTGGATGATCTATTGGCTCTCGGTCATCGTGGGGATCTTCCTCTTCAGCCTCGGCATCTTCTTCAAGATCGAGCTGCGGAAGAGGAGCGAGATGATGGACAACAACGAGAGCCACTTAGTGCCCAACCTGCTGATCCTGATGGGCTTGTTGGCCTGCGGGGTCAACGCCTTCGGAGGAAAGGTGTGCCATGACTCTCTGGACCCCATCAAGTTCGCCAAGTGGAAGCCGATGCTGAGGACGTACCTGATGCTGTGCTGCGGCTTCAACGCGCTGCTGCTGCTGACGGCGCTGCTCTGCTTCCTCATGCAGTTCGCCGTGTACCTGACGCTGGCCGAGGGCCTGAAGAACAGCATCAAGTTCTACAAGGACACGGACACGCCGGGACGCTGCTTCATGAAGAGGACTCTGGACATGACGCAGATCGAGTTCCGCTGCTGCGGCAACAACAACTTCAGGGACTGGTTCGAGGTGCAGTGGATCAGCAACCGCTACCTGGACATGAGCAACGACCTGGTCAAAGAGTGAGTACACAGAGCCGGTCCTGCACCTGCAGACTGACCGTTTATCAGTTAGTTCATCAGAAAACAAATCAATCATCAGTTATTTATCAAACTGAGTCCATCTTCTACACCATCATGTTCTGTTTCCCGTCTCCAAAAAAAGGATCAACAGCTCAATCCATAATGAAAATATGTAAAATAAATCACTTTACACTGAAATGCAGAGGAACACAAACTTTGAGTGAACCATCAGTAGTTCATTAAACTGACCCTTGATCAGGTTGTTCCAGTTTGCAGTTACCTTTCATTTTCAACTTTGTGGAAAGTTTCTCTGAACTGTACTGGGATCAGAGAAAAGCCTGGTTCAGGAGTGTTTTCCAGCTGAATCACAGAGAGTTTTGCTAAAAGGGGTCAAAGGAGGATGAATGAGGGAATTAAGGAGGTAAAAGTTAGCGTGCAGGAGGTCGATGTACCAGCTTCTCCTCCTTAAGTCCATAATCTGACAGGATCTGATTTCCACCCCAACATGACAAGGTTAAACCAAACCGAGCGGCTGAGGGAGCGCTTGATTCCCTCACCAGAGAAGGTTGAGAGGTGAAAAACACATTTCTGACAGAAGCTGAGATCATTCCAAACACACGAGATGATCAGATGTGATCGAGCGTTTTCGCCAGCTGACTGTCAGAAATACGTCTGCAGGCTGAAGCGTGTTTGCGTGTTTCTGTTAATGCACTTAAAAGATATTTCCACAGGCCACGCCCAGTGCCTATTCCTGTCAGTCACTATCAGGTCCCGCCCTCGACATCACAAAGTGGTCCCAGAACCAAAAGTCACTTAAAGATCTTTAATTTTAAAGCTAAACAAGATAGTCAGACTGAAGTTAGCATGCTAACCAGCTAGTCAGATAGACAACTGAGATAGTTTTAGTCCACTACGTCACACAAACCCCCTCTTTTTTAATCTGATAAAGAAAATAAACTCACAGAATGTCAGATCAAACCGAAAAGTGAAAACGGTTGGATCCACCTTCTGGATAATCGTTCACTCATTGGTAGTTAGATGTGAAACTGCAGCCCTGCTTGCTGCCTCTCTGGTCTCAGTACTCACACACTGTACCTTTAAACCCCAGTTAGACCAGGAAGCTGCTAGTATTCTGGGTGGATATGAAATCTATCTTCCAGTTTTTAGCCCACGCCCCTCGTCTGGCTTCATGGCGGCAAAAGTTAGGAGAAAGCGGCAGAGTCCCACAGTACAAACCTGCATTAAAGCTCCAGTGTGTCATATTTCTGAGCATCTACTGACAGAAATGCAATTTAAGATCAGTTTTCAGTGGTGTATAAAGACCTTACACAATGAACCGTTATGTTTTTATTACCTTAGAATGAAACATTTCTATCTACAGACACCGCGGCTCCTCTTACATGGAAGGACCCATGTTGCACCGCCATGTTTCAACAGCAGCCCAAATGGAAAAACTGCTCTCCAGAGCACGTTGCAGCAATACGATGAATATGTAGTAGCAGTGGTAGTGGTCGTGGTCGTAGTCGTCTGGTTTGTTAGAAGTGAAATTTAGACAAATGAAGAACCACACATATTATTTAGCACAAGAGCCGACAGAGCGTGTCGACCACCGTAACTTCTCCTGCTCGCTTTCAAAGAGAGGGGTGACTGAGCCGTTGGTTGCAATTCACAACCTTCACCACTAGATGCCACTAAAACGTACACACCGAAAACTAATTAAAACTAAACTAAAATCAAAAACAAAACAAAATAAAAACAAAACAAACAAAAAGTGCAAACTATGAGAACCATGGTCTCAGGTCCAGGGACCTGAGAGGCCAGGCAGCCAGGCAGTGTGTCTGATCTCTGTCCTCCCTGTAGAGTCCAGTACTTTTGAACTCTGTCTTTGTCCTGCAGTCGTGTCCTCAGTAACGTGGAGGGGAAGTACCTGATGGACAGCGTCCCTTTCAGCTGCTGTAACCCCGGGTCCCCGCGGCCCTGCATCCAGCATCACCTGACCAATAACTCTGCCCACTACGACTACGACCACCGCATCGAGGAGCTCAACATCTGGACCCGGGGCTGCCGCGAGGCCCTCTTCTCCTACTTCAGTGGCATGATGAACAGCATCGGGGCGTTCCTCATCGTCACCATCATCCTGGAGGTAAGGCTCCGCCCACAGTCCGCTTCAGCCAATTGGCATCCAGCCGGGGCCCCACTGTCTCTTAAAGAAACGGTTCAATATTTAGTGAAATCCTCCTCTTCTCTCTGAGAGTCACATGTTTAGGCTGATGCCACTCTCGTGTCTGTATGCTAAATATGAAGCTACAGCCAGCAGCTGGTTAGCTTAGCATAAAGACTGGACACAGGGGGAAACAGCTAGCATGTCTTTCCAAAGGGAACAGAATCCACCAACCAGCACCTCTAAAGCCCCCTGGTTAACACCATCTTACCGTACAGACATAGGGGCGGTATCTGTCTTTATGCTAAGCTAAGCTAGCCATCTTGCCGGACAAACATGCGAGTGGTCTCTGGTATCTAACTCTCAGCAACAAAGAGAAGAAGAGGATTTCACTAAAAGTACGGTTGGCTGAAGGTGGTGAGATCTGATTCGTGGTGTTGGTTGGATCTTTTTTTGTTTACATTATAGATTACTACTTACTGTCATTTGGGAGTAATTAGTTGTATTACAGTATTACTGTCTGAGTTGTGAGGCTTTACACTCTTAAGTTACTCTTGAGTTCCTTTCACTGCTGTTAAATGGGCGCATTATTCTGATGTTCTTGTGATGTGCAGAGTTACATCCGCGGGGGGTGGGGGGTGAAATAGGATGACCCGTCTCCCCATTAAGACAGACGCTGTGCACATTTACACACGAGCTCATGATGAGCTGACAGCACACTCTCTGATCAGGAAAGTAATTCATTAAAGCACAAACACGCAGCCTACAGAAATCTATTTACCCATGATCCATCAGGGGAGCTGCCGTCTTGTTAAGAGGAGCCGAGCTCCCCCGTAGTTTGCACCCTGCCTACAGTGTCGACCATCGGATTCCAGCAGCAGGAAATAACGTTACTCTTTTACTCATGGATTTGTTTTTCTGCTGCCAAAATGTTTCTCTGTGTTGGTGAATTATTAAAAAAACAAAACACCTCTTCATTTTGGGTTAAAATGCGTTGTAGCGCACGTTACTGAGATTGTAACGGGTTTAATATCACTGATTTTCTTTTAGTAATGCTTTATATTACTGCGTTACAGCAAAAAGCAACACATTATTGTGCGTTAGTTTTGTTCCTCCCGACACTGCTGATGGGTGACGTGTGTGCTGTATATATCGTGCTGTGAACGGTGCACACACTGATGCACAAATTAACTTCCTCGTTCTTTAAATTGATAAGAACGAGCTAACGTGACAGAAAGCATCTTTGGGAGAAGGTTTTTCAGGAGCTGTCACGTCGTGAATCTTTACACAGTCCGTGGTGAGCGAAAGCATCCGATTGGACAGGAAGGCCAGGGGGGCGGGGCTGGTTAAAGGGGCAGCAGGAGTTTTTGTAAAAAAAAAAAAAAGAGCTAACAAGGTGAAACATTAGAGCTAAATCTGGATCTCGCCTGATGCTCGTTAATCTCTGAGGACTTTCTCCTGGAGGTGAATGCAGGATAACCTCTAATCTGCCGATAATCGCAGCACACCTGCAGTAAACTGACCCAGGCATTACCCCACGCACCGGGTTAACAGCATAATTGGTTAGCGGGTGATTAGCGTTAGCGCTGAAGGAGCAGCAGCCCAGACTCCATTTTAAATCCCGCACATTTTAAAATGTGGAAAAATGTGTTTCCCCACTTTGCAATACATTTCTAACTTTGTTATCTGTGTTCAGGACTGTGGATCGGGTTTCACGTTAGAGTTCTTTGTGTTCATGTGTGTTCGGGGTTTGTTTGACGTACGGGGAGACTCCCGCTGCTGTGACTCAGGACTCGGCGTTGGATCGGGTGCTGAGGTGGCGGCGTGCTGTGATGCCACACGGTGGTCAGGTTCACCGAGGATCAGGAACTATTCTGGGTGGGTTAATCTTCCCATGGCAGCAACAGGTTGCATTCTGGGAAGATCGGGATGAGGGCCAGTTCCTGAGAGTGAAAAGTGATTCGTTATGTGGGTCAAAACAACAAGTTTGACCTGAGGAGTCACGACAGATCGGATTTAGAAACTACATCCTGAACTCAATCACTCGGTCCTCACTGGTCTCAGATCTGTTCCTGCAGTTTGTGATCAGTTCAGAGGACCAATCAGCAGCAGCCTCCACATAAACAAGAGGTCACAACAAACTTCTTCAAGATCTGTGGGACTTTGTCTCCCTGATGTTGTCTTCTCAGGCTGGAATAAGCAGCAACACGGAGTACATGAGGAGGAGTATTTTATATACTGTCCATAAATAACACCCGTCTGAGAGTGAGGGGAGACGACGAGGTTAGAGAATAAGTTGGTTTTAACTGCGCCTGAGACGACAGCTGGAGAAAACATCTCGTCCAGGAAGACCATGTCCCCGTTCTTAGTCCCGCCTACAAAGCTCTGATTGGTCAGTGGTTTTCCCACCTGAGGGAGCGGGGACGAGTTCACTCTCAAAATGTTTTGCACCGCTTGCTGCGTTTCCGGGTCGAACAACCTGTTTATTTGTGAAACATTGTGAAACGTTGTGCAGTGGGCTCCAAGGCACCCAGGAAATGTTCCTAGGGGAGGTCAGATGGGGCCACTGGAAATCCTGGGGTGGAACACTGAAACCAAAAGCCATTTCTGAACTTCAGAAATTCTATCGTGCAGTTTAAAGACTAGCTGACTAGCTTATTTTACTGTTTATGTTACTAGTTGTCTGTAGACTAAAACCAGTCCAGTTGACATTTTGAGTTCCATAAGATCCTGTTTTAATGTGTCACGTGTCTGTATGTGTTCCTCAAATACACGACTTTCCTTAAAAAGACAAATATCCAGCTTTTATTTGGGGGAGTGCACCGACTGCAAAGAACAAAACATTCACCGGAACAAGCTGACTCATGATTACAGACTCCAGAAAACACACACTCGCTGCTGCAGGCTGACCGGCTTCGTTACTCCGACAGGCTCTGCCTGTTAGTCCCGCCCCTTAACCAATCACAATTTCAGAAACGTGATAGCATCTACATGGATGAATCGGAGGCCCCTCTTAAAATAAACATGGTGATCTGTCACACCAAGGGGGTAACTGATATACATCTCGAACAAACTATGGAAAGGTCTCTTAAAGTGACAGAGCCCCTCCCCCGATGGCGCCATTGATGCACTTGAGTACAGAACAGGGTGTTCAAGGCACCACCGCTTACGTTGAAATAAACATTTGTTGTGGCTGAACCTCCTCAGTCACTGAGCAGGAACCAGGTTACTACCATACTAACCCCGTCTGTGTGTGTGTTTCTGTGTGTGGTCAGTCCGTGGACATGGCGGGGTTAAAGTACCTCAGCACGGCTCTGGAGTCGATGGAGGACCCAGAGAACCCAGAGTGCGAGAGCGACGGCTGGCTGCTGGAGAAAGGCGTGAAGGAGACGTTCGGCGAGCTGCTCACCAAGCTGAAGACGCTGGGGAAGACCAACCAGGTGGATGAGGGCGGGGACGCACAGGAGGCCGCTACCTGAGAGCCCCGCCCAGTACACTGCCACTAAGGACTGAGGTCTCCCCCCTCCCCCCCTCCCAGCTGCCTCTCCAGATAACAGGGAGCGGGAGAGGAGAGGTCGTCTCCACCGTCTGTACATACGCCATCGTACACGTGAAGAACACACACACACACACACACACACACACACACACACGTGTGATTTAAACTGCATGTTGATTTTTTTCCATTCTGTAAATACGTTGAACAGAGTTTATTTTTAAACAGGAGGAAACCTGCTGCTGTAAATAAAACATCTGGCTCGGGATTTAAAATAATAATTAAATTAAATTAACCCCCCCAATTAATGCTTCCTGTCAGCCACAACCAGGCCTGACTGCCAGTCGTTACCGGAGCCCGACCGATACGTCACACCGCTGATAGCAGCTTGTCACAATCTGAGAGTTCCACAGTTTGTCCAGCAGAGAGCGTGTTTTATAAATCCGAGGGATTCTTGCCAAACATGTTTGTGTCGGTGAATGTTTCATAATCAGTTATTTTTATTCTGGTATTTGTGTCTCAGACATCGAGTATCGGTCGGACTCTGGTGTTAACCATCGCCGTGTGACCTCTGACCCAGTTGGTTTACATGGAAACTGACGGCCGAACATCCGGGAAAAACTAGGAGTGCTGATTGCTCCCACCGCTGGTCAGAAGTGATACTACAACATACAAGGGTATAGATACAGGTACATACGAGGGTATATACAAGGGTATAAATACAGGTACATACGAGGGTATATACAAGGGTATAAATACAGGTACATACGAGGGTATATACAAGGGTATAAATACAGGTACATACGAGGGTATATACAAGGGTATAGATACAGGTACATACGAGGGTATATACAAGGGTATAGATACAGGTACATACGAGGTATATACAAGGGTATAGATACAGGTACATACGAGGGTATATACAAGGGTATAGATACAGGTACATACAGGTAGATACGAGGGTATATATACACAGGTACATACGAGGGTATATACAAGGGTATAGATACAGGTACATACAGGTAGATACGAGGGTATAGGTACAGGTAGATACGAGGGTATATACAGGTACATACGAGGGTATATACAGGTACATAGAGAGATAAATGCAGAGGTATATGCAGAGTGAGGAAGTTTCATGTGGCTTTTAAAAATCTTTCTTGAACACCAACTTTTTTATTTCACTTGTATTGTCACAACTTCTAACTTAAATTCTGTACTTTCACACGTGTTTTGGGAGGTTTGTTGATAAACTGTACTTGGAAGCTCACAGTTTCAGTTTCAGTTTCATCAGTCGAAGGAACGATAGCTAACCATAACGTTAACATCTATAACTTGAAACACGTGATTGGTGGAGAGCGTTGGGGCAAGCCTGAGCCTGGCAGACTGAGTTCAGGGCGGCCGTCTGGTTCCCTGTCAGGGCGATGCTGGGTCAGACTGAAACAGGAACGTTTTTTTACTTATTAAGTTGCAGCCAAACCAACACACACGCTTTGATGAGCAATTTCATCTTCATCAAACTGTACATTCATATTTAGTGTTTTCTCAGTTTAACAGACAGAAGCTGCATCAGAGAGTGTGTGTGGACCTGGTCAGTTTTACAGAGGTAAAGTAAGCCGTGTAGTGATTAAAGGCTCGGTTTCCAGTTACAGCTTGTAATATTTGTATGTTTCTGTTTTCTTTCTTTGTGATATGGAGAGTTGTAATGTTTGCAGCCAGTTGTTGTGGGTTGGTTGGAGCTTGTAGTCGCTCCGCTGTGTACGATAAACCCTATAAAGAGATTGTGACTGACACCCAACTGTCTGACTCATCTTTTATCTCAACAGGTATTTATAGAGGTACATAAAGCAGAATATACACATGTATACATAAAGTATAAAGCGGTATATACATATACATGTATACACATGTGTACACCCAGTATATATAGAGGTATGTACACATGTATGCACTGGTGTTTATATAGGTGGTATATACACGTGTATACACTGGTGTATGTAGAGGTGTCTACACAAGGTATGGAGGTATGTACATGTGTAAACACAGTGATATACGCTGTACATAGACAGGTATGTGTGGGTATCGTGTATTACATTGTTTTACAGTATGCTGCAGTATTTTCCAGAGTTTCTTAGTGTTTAAACGGGAACCTGTAATGCTCATTTCCAGCTCTATGTTTTTATTCTGGGACTCTTCTAGGGCAGCTTTTCCTGATCCAGTTATAAAAAGCCTTTGTTACCAGTGCAGGTAGTGGCCCTTTTAGCTTAGCTGACTCTGCCCAGACTGGGAACTTCATCAACAAGTAAAGTTATCTGTCCATCGAGAATCAAACTACCTTTCCTTCACAACCGAATGAGACGTCCTGAACAACCTCCCAACACCTGCAGAGTCCTGAGCCGAGTCCCCACACCTGGTGTTGGCGCTGCGAGCAGAGCGGTTGGAGGCAGGCTGAGCAGGTGGATGGCGTCCTGTACTTTGTGGACGTGCAGATCCTGGAGCAGATCATGAGCAGATGACCGTATAAGGACATCGAGCCAATCTGACGTCAGCTCTGCAGGAAAGCAGAAAAAAACTGTTGGAAAGCCAGAATCCAAAGTGGTCTGAAGCTTCCTGCTCGCAGGGATCACTTTTACACGTTCACCTCAATATGTGAAGCTCCGGCCACGTTAACATTCCACGCTGTGATATTACTACAGAGAATAATGGAAAGCACAACAGGTGCCCTTCAACAGGGATGGTATTGTGTTTCTTGGTGTTTCACAGGTGCTTAACAGCCGCTGAGCTGTTAATCAGCTCAGAGAAACAGATTAACTGCTGATGTCAGCAAAGGGCCAAGGACAGCGGCCATGACGCAAGTCCTCTAAAGGACACGCTCACTTTGTAACATGTTGGTTCTGATCGTCACGCATCGTTTATACAGCATATATATGTCCATATGTGTATATACAATATATATATATTGTGTATATAGACATAATCTAAAAAAAAACCAACAACTATTTATTTGTATGATACAGCTGCAAATAAGTATTTGAACACCTGTCTATCAGCTAGAATTCTGACTCTCAATGACCTGTTAGTCTGCCTTCAAAATGTCCACCTCCACTCCATTTATTATCCTAAATTAGATGCACCTGTTTGAGGTCGTTTGCTGCATAAAGACACCTGTCCACCCCATACAATCAGTAAGAATCCAACTACTAACATGGCCAAGACCAAAGAGCTGTCCAAAGACACTAGAGACAAAATTGTACACCTCCACAAGGCTGGAAAGGGCTACGGGGAAATTGCCAAGCAGCTTGGTGAAAAAAGGTCCACTGTTGGAGCAATCATTAGAAAATGGAAGAAGCTAAACATGACTGTCAATCTCCCTCGGACCGGGGCTCCACGCAAGATCTCACCTCGTGGGGTCTCAATGATCCTAAGAAAGGTGAGAAATCAGCCCAGAACTACACGGGAGGAGCTGGTCAATGACCTGAAAAGAGCCGGGACCACCGTTTCCAAGGTTACTGTTGGTAAAACACTAAGACGTCATGGTTTGAAATCACGCACGGCACGGAAGGTTCCCCTGCTTAAACCAGCACATGTCACGTCTTCAGTTTGCCAATGACCATTTGGATGATCCAGAGGAGTCATGGGAGAAAGTCATGTGGTCAGATGAGACCAAAATAGAACTTTTTGGTCATAATTCCACTAACCGTGTTTGGAGGAAGAAGAATGATGAGTACCATCCCAAGAACACCATCCCTACTGTGAAGCATGGGGGTGGTAGCATCATGCTTTGGGGCTGTTTTTCTGCACATGGGACAGGGCGACTGCACTGTATTAAGGAGAGGAGGACCGGGGCCATGTATTGCCAGATTTGGGGAACAACCTCCTTCCCTCAGTTAGAGCATTGAAGATGGGTCGAGGCCGGGTCTTCCAACATGACAATGACCCGAAGCACACAGCCAGGATACCCAAGGAGTGGCTCTGTAAGAAGCATATCAAGGTTCTGGCGTGGCCTAGCCAGTCTCCAGACCTAAACCCAATAGAGAATCTTTGGAGGGAGCTCAAACTCCGTGTTTCTCAGCGACAGCCCAGAAACCTGACTGATCTAGAGAAGATCTGTGTGGAGGAGTGGGCCAAAATCCCTCCTGCAGTGCAAACCTGCTGAAAAACTACAGGAAACGTTTGACCAAACAAAGGCTACTGTACCAAATATTAACATTGATTTTCTCAGGTGTTCAAATACGTATTTGCAGCTGTATCATACAAATAAATAGTTAAAAAATCATACATTGTGATTTCTGGATTTTTTTTTTTAGATTATGTCTGTGTGTGTGTGTGTGTGTGTGTGTGTGTGTGTATACACAGTATATATATACACACAGTATATATATATACTGTGTGTATATATATATAACAAGGTTTTCTACAGCAGATAAATATGAATAAGAATCAATCACAGATATTAAACTCTCCATTCATTTTACAACAGAGATCGTGCAGCTGTTGCATGGACCAATCACACGGCTCCCCACAGCCTGTTGCTAGGCAGAATCCAGATTAGATCAGATTATCAGAGAGATAATTAAGACAATCAGGCTAAACCTCTGAGCGAGAGAAGACAATCTAATTCATGTAACGTGTGAGAGAGAGGTGGGAGGGTTTGGACTGAGTCAGAGATACTGGTCCCAGTGTATCCCCCACCCCTTTACTGTACAACAGTAAGTGAACGCATCACCGTTGAGGCTGCTTTATTTACAGCTAAAGGAAATGTGTCGCTGAGCAGGTGATTATTATTACAGAAACATAATGATGAAATGTTGTTAATGAACAAATCACTGACATCATTTTTTCAGCTGGTAGCGACTACAAACAGTGATGCAAAATAACTAATTACATTAATTATTTACAATTATGAGGTATGTGTACTTTACCTGAGAGTGTCCATTTTGTCAGAGTACATGTTGTACTTTTCACTGCACTACTTTTATCTGATAACTTTAGTTTCTTTGCTGATCACCAAATCACTCTGCCTATACTGCAAGTACTATCTGTGTGTATACATGGCTATAGGTACATACAGCATGAATTTAGGTACACATACAAGTAAGCGTATATTTTATTTTATTCTAATGTAAATATTTGTACACAGCATGTTCTGTGTGTAGCTGTATGTATATGTATGTCCTCAGTGTCAATGTTCTTCCCCCCAAACCAACGAACAATTAATAACTAACTCAAAATATTACAGCTGACTAAAAAGACATGAAGGTAACAGAACATGCTCACCGTCTCAGGAAGGCGTGGCAGAGAGTCTGCAGGTCTCACTTGGGGCCTTGTGCTGCTGTCTGAAGTCCAAGCAGGGCAATGAGTGTAGTTCATATTCTGTCCACCAGGGGCCGCTGTTCAGACACCACGAGATAACTCGCAGCATCAGTGGTCAATGAAATGAGAGTCACAGCTGGAAAACATTCAATATGAATGAATGTTTTGTAATGGCTGCCTTATTTTATGAGGAAGTAGGTGATTGGTATAGACAAACAAGTCACCTCCTACAAAAGATGGCTTCTCACTATGTAACACCATTTGTCTGATGAAGGTCTAGCACCGAAACATTGGGTAAATATATATATTTTCCAAGTTAGACAGTGTGCGGGAGTTTTTCTTCATTAAACAGGAAAGTCTTAGTAAGATTTTCACCCATTAGACCAGTGTTCGTTTCCCACAAAAAAGTCAACATTGAATGTTTTTATTGAAATTACGGAGGGTACATAGGTTACGTAAGTTGCGTAACTTACGCATCATTTAACTTACATAAGTAAACTTCGTAAGAAATGTTCTTTTTAACCAAAATCATCATCTTTTCCTAAAGCTAACCAAGTAGTTATTTTACTTATGTTTCTTACAAAATAGGGACGTTTCACAACGCAATGTCAAAAAACAACACTAAAGGGCGTGAAAAAGCGACGCAAAGGGGTCTTTAGCAAGCGTCTATTTGTGTCGAGTTGGCAGTGACAATGTGTTGGAATACTTTGCTAAAGGTAAGAGTGAGTCTGCAGGGAATCAGTATAAGTCAATATGAAGGGATGGAAACACGACTGTGTATGTGTTTGTTAAGGTTTGTTTTCCTGTGTTTATGGGGTCCAAAAAACTTATTATACTTGTGGAGACCAGAATGCTGGACACCACAAGTTTAAAGGGCAGTTTGAGGGTTAAAACATGGTTTTAGGGTTCAGGTGGAGGTTAGGTTTAGGGTAAGGGGCTAGGGAATGCATTATGTCAATAAGATCTCCCCACAGGGATAGTAAGACTAACATGTATCTGTGTGTGTGTGTATTCTTAGCATCAGAGATTAAAGTGAACCTGAGGAGGAGATTTTCAGCCAAATCCTTTTAACGCAGCATGCAACAATCTGAGCCAATCAGAAGAGGGGAGAGTCCTCAGGTATAAGGTGAGGTCACTTCCTGTTATCAGAATCAGAATCTGTGTCACAGTTGCTCAGTTTGCATGTCAAGATACTAAAGAACAGAAATAACAATAAAGTAGGAAATGTAACAATATATAAGGCAGTCTCAATATTTACAGTATTTTACAAAAACAAACAGAAATGTAATGATAAATAGTTTAATGAATTACAGTGGGTACGGAAAGTATTCAGACCCCTTTAAATTTTTCACTCTTTGTTTCATTGCAGCCATTTTCCAAAAATCAAAAAAGTTCATTTTATTTCTCAGTAATGTACACTCAGCACCCCATCTTGACAGAAAAAAACAGAAATGTAGAAATTTTTGCAAATTTATTAAAA